GATGATGTTATGAGTGAAAAAAAATATAATTTGATTTGATTCATCGTGAATTGATTGATTAGGCAGATGATCTCATTTAAGAATTATTTATTTATTTATTTACTTTATATATTTATTGTAGAAAGTTTTATGATTTATCAAGTATTATTATAAGTAAAAATTATGAAAAAATGGTAGAAAAAAAAAGTGATTGGTAATAGATTGTGTCAAATCATTTAAACACAATTCAAATTAGTTTAACTCGCAGTTTAAGTGAGTAAAATAAATTAGACTCACATCTTAAAAAAATAATTTTTTTATCATGTTAACTGAGAATTGCAGTACATTTTGACACCTTTGTATTTCAATATCCAATCATCACAGTAATAATTTCCTTTTATTAAAACTAAATTAAGTATAATACATTTAATTTCTTAATTAAAATGAACTTAATTATGGTATGTCATCCATTTAAATTGACATTGTTTTAATAATAATTGAATCAATTATTATTAGGAAGTGACAAAACGAACTGTTTTGGAAGTATGATAAATGGTCATTATCATTGTGAATAACTTTGATTTCTAGTCAATCATGGGACAACTTCAGGAGTAAGAAGTATCTCTTCATGTTTCAAAAATTGTGTACCACTATAATCATAACAAAAGAAATCAAAATCATGTACTATATATTTAAAATCAACATGCACATAGAGAAAGAGATTGTATTTTAAGACTCTAGTATTTATTCAAATAATTACACAAACACAAGCATACAAGATGAGATAATGAGAAAAGGATGCACGATAAAACTTAAATGAATAACGTTCAACACCTTCTACCAAGACAATGTGAATTGAACCTAAGAATAACTAACAAACATAAATATTAACAAAACAAAAATCCTCCGATTAGGATAAGATGCTAAAATTGAATTAAAACTGAAAATTTATGAGTTTAATATGCAAAAACAAAAACTAAACCTAAAAGATAAATGCAAAGCTGCCAACAAATCTAATTAATACTTAAGTAAAGTGAATGCATGTAAAATTAAAAACCAAAATTAGAAGAAGGTAAATAAAGAGAACACTTTACATCTAGCGAAGACCTTGGACCGGATCTTCGACAAAAACTCTTGATATTTGTGATGATGGTAATTAAGAAAAAATGAAATGTGTAATACGGTCAACTAAATTGCAAATATAAAAGGTTTAATGTTTTTAACCTGAAGTACAAAATGATACCATTTATTTTTTGATAGAATAGTTTAGTTTTTCTAATATAATATAGTATACATAATTTAGTGTAATTACGTTTATTATATCCAGCCATAATTATTAGATAAACTACATTTGCAATAAATTAAATTAACTTGAAGAAGTTTGTTAGAAGCAAAAGAACAAAAGAAATAACAAATGTGGAATGCGTATACATTAAGGAAAAGATTGAGAGGGTTTATTTATTTTGGGCAATCCATATGAAAAAACAAAACCGCGTGTGTCAAAACGCCAACTAGCAAGTACCCAAAAGAATCTCACTATACAACCTTTGCCATCCAAATGGAACATCCAAACACACCTTTTCCTTTTTATTCCTTCTAAACCTGCCAACTGTACCCCATTCATTCCCCCTCATCAATCTTAATTTAAATTGGATTTTTATACTTCTCAAAAAACTTATATTTCCTATTATTAAAATAAATTCTAAGCAATAAAACATGCATCTTTTTTTTTATCAATTTTATTTAAATATACTGATATCCAAAGCACAACTTCTTTCGAATTCATGCCATTTGTTGAAACTTAAATTCTGTCTCATGTTCATATTTTTCCAAACAAAAATAGAATTAAAAACTCTACTAATAATCACCGCTCACGGTTTGAATTAAGTTTGCAAGATTTGAAAATTACATAGCTATTTATTTGTCACTTATCTAAATAATAAATTAATAATTAATGCAATGCAGCATTATGATCTGTCTGTTATTTTTTATTATCATCCTCATCAAACAAAAAATTGTTTCAAGTTATTAGTTTTTTTTATTATTTAATTTTAACAAGACATTTAATATTTTTTTAAACTACAAACAGACACGTTTAATCTTTTAATTTAATTTTAGTTTTAATCTTTTAATTTAATTTTAATTTTAATCGTTTTTTCTTAAATTTTTAATGACACTTCCTCAGAATTTTAATGCCATTTAATATTTTTGAAAATGAGATAAATTTTCTTTACTATTTTATAAACTATTAATTAAATTTCATATTTATTTTTTTCTAAACCGCGTGGATATTCCACTACACGCGTAAACGGTTTGCTTCATATACAGTCACACAGAAGCACCTAAACAAGTTGTAACACTCACTCGTTCTTTTCGCTTCGCTTCAAAGTTCTCATTTGCATTCGTATTTGCAGAGATAGTTTATTGACTCGTCAGTGACTTACTCAATGGCTGACCGAGTTCACCCCCGCGACTCGCCTCCCGTTTCCCCCGAGTCACAATCAGCTTCCCCTCAGGATTCCTCTGTCGTTCCACAAGCGCTGCGGCCACCGCCGTCGGAGAAGCCGGTGCCTCCACCTGGAACCTACGTCATCAAGATACCCAAGGATCAAGTCTACCGCGTTCCTCCGGCAGAGAACGCCCGCCGCTACGACCAATATACTCACCGGAAGCACCGCCGGAGCCGATGCTGTTGCTGCTGCTGCTGGCTCATTGGAATCCTCTCCATTTTGATCGTGCTTCTTGCCATCGCCGCCGGAATCTTCTATCTCGTTTTCCGTCCGAAGGCTCCGAAGTACACCATCGAAGACATCGCCGTCAGAGGAATTAACGTCACGTCGCCGTCGTCCGATGTGGCAATCTCGCCGGAGTTCAACGTCACCGTCAAGGCCGATAACCCTAACGACAAGATCGGAATCTACTATTTGAAGGATAGCTCCGCCGAAGTATTTTACAACGACGCGAGGTTCTGTAACGGTGCACTACCGGCGTTTCACCAGCCGTCCAATAACGTGACGGTGTTCGGGATGGTTTTAAAGGGTAACGGAATCGAGCTTAGGAGCGAGGACCGAAAGTCGTTGGTGGAGTCGCAGACCAAACGGAAAATACCATTGACCGTTAGCATTAGAGCGCCTGTGAAAATAAAAGTTGGGTCCGTTAAGACGTGGAAGATTACCGTTAAGTTGGACTGTGACGTGACGGTGAACGAGTTAACGGCGCAAGCAAAGATCGTTTCTAAACGTTGTGACTATAAGGTTGATCTTTGGTGATGAAAAACATGGACAACTGGAGTCAGTTTTCCTTTTTTTTTTTCTTTTAATTATTATTACTCTTTGTCAGAGATACACAGAAACATTCCTGAGATTATTATACATTGTTTATATTTCAAATAAATATAGCGAAATTTGCAGAAATTATAAAAAATAATAATCATAAATTACATAAACAGTTACATTTATTGATACGCCATGGGTGTGAGATTTTGATTTGGTTTTGCTGTAGGCAGTCCATTTTTATTATAAATGTTTTAATTTTAGTATGTTTTTGCTTACGATAAAACATCAACTTTTTATTATTGACTTGGAATTATTAAAATTATATATTTGGCAAATTTTGTTTATGACGTTATACTTTTAAAAAATTTAAGAAAAAGTAAATATTACATTAGAAAGAGTGTACGTCACTCAATTTAATATAAATATAGAATATTTTGACTCATTAATAATTATGCAATACATTTCTTTCTTGACCATTTCTCAGCGTATAGAGAAGCTAACCTTTCATTATCAATTTATCAATAATGGCAATCTAATAAAACAAGTTGGTATACTTCTAAAAGACATTACTAGGTTTTGATTCTATTACAGTGAGACTTCACTTTTAAAAAAATAATTATTGGTAAATATTTGATAATTAATATTCAAATCTTATTTTTCATCAACAACTAAAATCTTAAATCACTTATTTTACCTCATTCACAAGAAAGTAACGTTTTTTTTTTTATTGTATTTACTAATTGGTGAGTATACATGAATGGAAAAGGTCCAGATTTTGCGTAATCAATTAGTGAAATTAACTTGCAGAATTGAATATACTTTTTATTAGGTGGATGATTGAGAAACGAACACTGGACTTATGTATTTGAGGCAGATTAATTAATATATTATTTAAAAATTAAAAGTATTTTTTTGGGAACATACTAATAACACCGTCATTACCGGTGCATCTTTATCAATCTAATATTTCAACATTTACTGTTTCCTCAGCGGCACGCAAAACTTATTACTTATCTCCATAAGTCAAACCTAATTCTAACCACTAGGTGCAAGAACATAATGGTGAGATATTGATTAAAAAATTAAGCAAAATTAATTGCTTTACTTTAATATATGCTTTTATATCCTATAAAATTAATTAAAGTTATCTGGGAGCTATGTTATGTTATGTCATATTTATGCAAACACTTTGTAACCAAAAGAGGGGTGTTATTCTTTTGATAACCATTTTAATATCTTTGTGCCTAAAAAGAAGATTTAATGGCCTTAAAAGCAGCTAGGGGAGTCGAAATTATGAACACTTTTTGAGACATTATCATCGGTATTCAACTCGTTTATCCCAAAAGTTGTTTGAACAATTTATAAATGCAAGTTGTTCAAAATTACAATGTGAACTATTTGAGTGTTTTCTAAAATTTAAGTTAACTAATAATTATGTACACATAACATAAATGAAATAAAAATGACACCAGCAATGAAAATGAAGAAGCAGAGCATATGTCATGGTAGAAAACCTTTATTAGAAAAAATTTGCACCCAAATCTTCACCATCATAATCTCATCAGATGAATCTATCAACTCTTTTTTCTTCATTCATAAACTAAGGTATTCCAATGCCAGAAAGCTCCTTGCTATGTGAAGGTATGAGAGTGTCATTGTACACAATCTTATCATTGCATTGCATATACAAAGAGGCTGTTTCTAGATTTGAAGATTTGAACCCCAAAAGGAGTAATTGAACAATAAGTGTGGCAATCTGTAAGGTCTTTATTACATCCTACCATGCACAAATGCTCCATCCTGTGGACTTGAATGCTAAATATAAAGCTATAAATCTGCAATTCCACAATGTTTCATCGCAATTCTCTTATCATGTGGATGCTTATTTTCAGGCTAAACCACTTGAGATTGTGACTTTGAAGGATCAACTTTGAGGTTCAGAATTCTGCTGACCATCCTGAGACTGAGACTGAGAATTCAGATTACCGTTTTGAGACTGCGAATTCAACCGCTGAAACTTTTTGACCTCCTGAATGTTTTGCCTAAGTTCTGTGTACATTTTGACAGAACAACCAGACAGATTATTTAATTGACCGAGAAACCGAATCAAGCTTCGTCGAAATTGATCAAGGCCTGTTGCCCAGTCCTCTGACATGTCATCTGCCAATAAACCATCGGCTGATTCACCACCAATATCAGCCTTCCATGTTGGCATATGAGGATGAGCACCTTTTCCTTGATTCTTGTCTTGGTGTGGTAAGAACTGGGCAGTATCTGCTGCCAAACTCTTAATGGAATCTGCAACATCCTTTACTGGTAAGGTATTGAGTTTACTCAACCAGAACTCACTGGTGACATATATTGGAGGACCATAACGGATAAGGTCAGGTTGATGCCTCTTTTTTCTCTTAGATGATTTTTCTTGAAGAAGAACACATTTGTGAAGCCATCCGTGTATAGCCTCCAAGTAGAATTTCTGAGCTCCCATCCACTTGGTAAAGCTTGATGACAGAAATTGGAGTTCATTTTCAAGATAGGCAGTGATTTGTCTGCGTAATTCAGAATGCATGGTGATTCTTGCATGGCTGTTGTTATATGCTGCTGACATGATTTGAAACTGAAGTTTGTGGCATTCATGCATCACTTCCCACATCCTACACAACCTGTCAACAAAGCATAACAGAAACTGATGAAATACACAAGCAAGAGGTTGATATCAATCAGCAAAAGCAAATTCACATGTGTGAACCATCCATCTCTGTGACTGTGAAAGCATAAATTGCTTACAGATCGAATCTCAATAAACTGATACGAAAGGTTGATCTAGTTAAGAAAAATGGTTTTGATCTCTGTAGTCTTCTGGTAAAAAAAACTCTATACTGTTTAGCGTGCAGAAAAACCACTATAGCAACGTGCTATACCTCAGTCGTTAAGATCAAAGAGAGATGATCCATAGTAGAAAGGATCTTCTGATTATACCCCATTGCTAAGAACTTAAATAAGGGTGTAATTCAGTCACCTGAACTTGATATAGAATGACTTTCACATAAGCAAAACAATGTATTTAAGTAATAGAGCTATTGATTATCGACTATTGTATTTTGGTTAAGGAAATTTATAGCTTCAATACAAAAAAAAAAATACCAAATGAATTTACCAAATATAGCAACTTTCACTAAAATATAAACAGAAACTTGCTAATAAACTTTCTTATGCTATTCATGGTTGGTCTTCTTGGTGCATCTTTTATTCACTCTGGTATTTTTTGTATTATCGAGGCAATGCATGTCGGCATGAAATAGAGAGTCAATAAAACAAGAAAGAGCTACAGAATCATACCCTTCAATCAACTCCTCAAGCTGTGGTTGAAGCTCTTTGTCCCGTAACTCTTCAATCCTCATTGATATGGAGTCTATCCTGTGAATTGCAACTCTGATTCTTGAGTGCAGATCCTTGACTGTTGCACGTGTTTTATCAACCTTAGAGGTTTTTTCTCCTTTTGATTCCAGTTGTCTTAAGATTTTACATTTCGTGTCATATTCTTTTCTGACAATCTCACTAGCCTGCTCACAGAAAAAAACAATGATCTTAGCAAACAGACAGAGAATAAGATATGTGCCAAGCCATTCAAAATATTTTACTGTCAACTGATAACTTCAGGATTTGGTCTAAAAGATTCAAAACAAAGACTTCTGAACATACTATTGCCGAAATATAACACCCACTAAATATACAATGGTTGACAAAATTGTTGATAAGAAATACACTGTACCTTCACTTCATCATAGAGTTTCCTTTCCCAAGCATATAGCCTATCCAAGGTAGATGCATGGCTTCCAGAAATCATACAAGAACTATCAAAGAGATTATTGGTATGGTCCTCAACATTGTCCATTGAATTTGATGCTCCTAAAGGGTTTCTGGATGAGGAGGAACGGGATGATGCCGTCCTATGCCAAGTTAAGTACTTAATCGAGTTTTGAGCAGGTTCTAGGAGGATGTAAAAAGGGAAAAGTTAGATGTTGAATTAAAAAACCAGGTTTCAAAAACGTAGGAATGAACATCGAAATTACAAAAGAAAAAATAGATAGCAAAAATTTATCAGATGGTCAGGTATAACCTTATATTCTGAAATGAGTCACTTTTAATGGCTGACTAGAGAATTTTTTTGTACTTGCAGTATGTAAAAGGAAAAAAACTCAATGAATTTTAAAATAAGTAGGAAATGAACAACATTAGTTACATCTCATAAAAGCCAATTCTCTAAGCCACAGAATACACAACATTCAACAATTTCATGGCAACACCAATAATAGGCAGATTTAATAATTGGCAATTCGAATCACTCCTGCTGAGGAAAATATGTACTCTAAGGGAATACTTTCAATTTGATAACTAAAAGATTGGTTAAACCCCACAAGGCCAGAAATGTCAAGCAAAATAAAAGGATAAACTGTAAAAATGACTCAAAATACCTTCTGGAACCTGGGTTGGGTCTTCTCCACATGAGAAGCATGCCTTCAATAACGAGGATACCACAGAACCATCTGTTACAAATAAGAATTCTCTGGTTTACATTTTAAAACATTTCATTTTGAAATAAAATACACAACAATGAAAAGAAACATCCAAAAGCTTCTTTGAAACAGAAAGTGAAGTTTTCTCTCAACTCAAGGATATCACCAAGATATTTTAGCAAAATATGTAATGTACCATAATCTTAGTTAATGGACATTCATGCAAGGAGTGCCTGCCTGTGGCCTAGAGTATATTCCTTTTCTATTTTTGGCCAAGTGTCTAGAGAGTATCTTAAGTTTTAGCATGAACATGGGGGAAAATTGCATTCCAAATCTCATCTTTATATTTTACTTGCACTAAAAAGTAAGAGCTGATAGGATTTTATATTCCCAAATGAAAACTGATTCAGAGCCAGATAGAAAGAAAAGAAGAGAGACAGCAAGATTACTTTCTTTTCCCGGGAATATTGGACGAAAGTGAAATTTGTTTGCTTCAAGCATCCTTGGAACCTCTTTGCCAGATTCTGAAGCTTTATTAAAGAGCAGTTCAATATCTCTCACGCTTGAAAAGAAATTCTTTGGGGTGACTTTATTTTCACTATGACTTTCCTTCTCCATTGGTTTATTTGTCTCAGGTGGAGGCAAAGCTGCCATAGGTGCAGTCTTTAATGTAGATAAATTAGCAGAGTTTCCCTTTTCTCCATTTACTGATTCAACTTCAGAAGCTGAATGTCCTGACAGAGGCTTGGTTGTGGGAGGTAAAGCATCTTCTTGAACATGAATTGAATTAGCTCTATTCAGATTTTCAAATCTTTGGACTAGAGTTTCTGCAGTAGGCTCTTCATCAAATTCATCATCAGAGTCCCTAGAGTGTTCCCTTCCATGAGATGAAGACTTCTCTTCATCATCTTCTAATTCTGGAATTCCCTCTTCCTCTCTCAGTCTTTGTATATCATCAGCATTCCCCATATCTTGATGCATCCCCTTCCCATCTTGAAAAGAAAATTGATGGTCAATGGGATGAAAGAGACCAAAAAAATCCCAATGTGGCGTTCCAGCTGGAAGAGAGGAATCTTCAAATGCTACACTGGCATGTTGTGTTGTAGTACCTGATGATGTTACTATTCCAATAACAGGTACGGGTGGTCTTTCTTCGACTTTCTTAGAAGAAATAGTGCTATGTTTCATGTGATTTGCTCGGAACTTACCAGAAGGAGGGGAGGGAGTTGGGGAGAATGTTTCATTTTCTGCTGCATCTATGTGATGTGACACAGTCGGTGAAGAGAATGAGAGGGTCCTTTCAGTTAAAGCAAGTGGTTGCTCTGGTGTTGCATTATTGTACAAAGAAGGCTCAACTGGTCCCTCAGGTTCTGTGAATTTTCTGAGAGCTGTTCCTGTATTTTTCAGTGATTGAATATATGAAACATGAGCTGCTGCTAATGAGCAACGCCCATCAAGCGCTTGTCTCACAAACCTCCTCCTTTCACGACATAGCTGCAGTGCCTTGTCATCCTCCATTTTGGAGCTTGATGCTCCCATTATTTCAAATCTAGCTGAATTTAGCTTTCCCTTAATGGAAATCCTTCACTGAAGTTCTATCTGTAAATTCATCAAACAGTAAATGAATAAGAATAATAAACCAGATCAAATCTCTTTTTTAAGGACACAAAAGCATGATTTTCTTTGTAAGACATTAAGAAACAGGACAATTTAAACAACTGGTGGAGATGATAACCATCAAAACCATAAAATGTCACCATCAATTTTCATCAGGACACACAAGCAAACAAAAATTGATTCTGATCTGAAGAATTTGCTGAGGAAAACAATGCAAGTGAAACCACCGCAAAACAGAAACAACAATTGAAGAGGGAAAATCAGCTCAAACTCCAAAACAATCAAAGAGAAAGAGCATCCACTATCCAAAAAGACAACAATAGTTGAAAGGTGAAATTGAAAGCCAAAAGACAGTGTTCAAAGCCCAATGAGAGACCCAGACAGTGAGTGAGTGCGTGGGATGCAGAAAGCAACGAAATTTACAGTAAAGGAGACAAATTTCAAGGAAGAGATAAATTATCCAACTACAAAATAGAAAGTGAGAATTGTTTTGAGTAACTAACCAAAAGAAAAGTTGAATTAGACCCAAAAACAAATTATGTAGCAGGAACAAGGAGGGTACCCATAAAGCAGAAATCACAAATTGGAATTTGCAAAAAGATGAAAAATTTTGGTGGGTACCAACTACCAAGGCTGCAGTGAAGCAAAGCTGCACGATATGAACTTGGATTTCAGCAAAGACTCAAGTAAGAGAATCATTGACAGAAACGGGATTTGGGAATTTTCAGAGAAGAGAGAGAAATTAAAGAGAGAGAGAGAGGAATAACTGTTAAGTAAATGAATTAGATCTATTACCATTGCTGCTTCCATGCAAAAGAAACAATAGGAGGCCACAGTGAATCAGTTGATGCCAACTCCGCTGGGTCCCCTATCAGCCGAAGTGCAGCGTGATTACACGCGCTTGAGCTTCCAATACTTCGACTGCACAAGAAAGCAAATGTACTATACTATCTTTCTTTCAAAGGCAGGATCTAATTTTCCATCTTCTTTTCCATCTTAAAAAAGTGTCTAACTTCTTATATCTATAGTAAAAAAAAAAAAAAATTACCCAGAAGAGAAAAAAAATTCAAAGCTTTAATAATAAAGTTACATATAGTTGTTGGTTGAAGTTTAATATTTCTGTGCCTGATACAGTTAAGTTGGGTTAGCGTAAAAGTAATAAGATAATGATATTTTGACAACCTTTTTTTACAACATTTTAATATCATTTACGTGTCATTATGTGATTGGTCTAAAATTACTCCAGAATCAATAATAATAATCATAAACACTAATATGAACCAATCACAGAATGACATGTAGATGATGTTAAAAATGTTGTCAAAAAAATGTTGTTAAAATATCATTATTCAAAGTAGTATGTGACTGTGCAAACTCGTACATGATTGTTTGTTTATTCTATTAAAATATTAAACAAAGTTTGAATTTTTTTTGTTCAACATGTACATATAAACAAAGGGGTAAATGATATCAGATATTAAGGTAGAAGATATTCAAGATTTGCAAAAGGGTTGAGAGGAGCTTATGTGGTAAAGTAGAAGATGATGAGAAAAGAGGAGAAAAGAAAAGTGTGGCCATGTGATGAGTTTTTTTGGCTTGATCATATTTTTCTGGGTCATGCCTCTAATTGATGTTTTACTTTTCTCTGTAACCTAATTCTAAAATTGTCCTTCAAAATTGTGGGACCACAATAAGTGTCACCATATTCTTCAAGCATTGTGTCAGCTTCTTCCTTACATTTAACAAAAAGTAATCATGCAACCTATAAATTTAATACTTTAAAGATGATCTTTCTCTAAAATAATAATATGGTAGCACCATAACTTTCAACCAGTCAAATCAAAATCGAAACTTTATAGGATTAAAACATGAACCTACTGTCATGAAGTGTGTGAATCAAGAAAAATTTATAGCTTGCAATAATTTTACTCAACTGAGCTAAATTTACCACCTTTTATGTTGTCCTTGTACTCATAAAAAAAAAGAAAAGCATGAACAGTTACTTTAAATGAAAAAAATGGTTACTAGAGAAAAATTAATGGTATTAAAAACTTTTGGTCTTCTGAACAATAATGATCACTGAGAAATGAGTAGCAAAGATAATTATTTAAAAAAAATGACATTTTCATCTTTCTTATAAAAAAAATTACATTTCTATAAGAAGAGTGATATTATCTCTAATTTAAATATTAATATAATGAATTTTGAATTTATATTTGAATTCTCAACAACTTCGGATCATTTACTTTATTAAAATTTTTAATGTTTTTTAATATTATAAAAATCTGTTTAGTATAGTTAACCTTAAGTGTGGAAAATAAAGGAATATCATAATAAATTTAAGTAAGATCATGTTTTAATTTTTAAATATTAAATTTAAGTAAGGCCTTTTTTTTTAACCTTTTTTTTACTTTTTTTCCTCTTCTCCCCCTCTGTTTCGTCTCGTGTTCCCTCCGTGTGTGCCCTCCCGGCCCCTCTCCTCCTTCCCTTCCGTCCGGCTCCTGTCTCTTCTTTCCCCCTTCCTTCTCTGCTGTCCCTGCCTGCGCCTCCTCCTTTGCTCTAGCAAAG